AGAGTTCTATTTGGAAAGATTAAACAAGTTGGAGCACAGGTGGGCAAAGTGTTTTGATGTAGAGGGCGATTATATTGAAAAGTAAGACCATCAGTTGGGTTCTCTGACTACAGGAAGTACATCGGGCCGAGAACTTTGTGATCAATCCTGGTATTGATTACAAGACATATTAATTTCTTCTTGATACACATATATGGCAAGAGTAATGCAATTTTTAATAGAAAGAGCACCGAAACACGAGGCAAAATTTGTACGAGGGAGCGTAACCAGACTGCCGAGTGTTTTGATGTTTTTTCTCTTTCATATCAAAGGAAAAAATATAATCACTTTCTCTTTCGATACCATATGAAACCCCAGAATAAATGGGCAAATGAACGAGCATCTGAATATGATATTTCTATATATTCCTTTCACGGTATAATATGTTAACCCCAGAAAAACTGAGCAAATCAGTGGGCATGCTCTGGGGTGCAAGAAACTGATTCCTGTACTCCAGTTATCGCACTGTGTGCATGTATATGTAAACGATTTAACTCCGACACATTTTCAATAGGAAAGGCTCTAAAATATGATACAATAAACAGTAAGCGGATTTTCATATGCATGTGATCGGTACAGATTTCAGACACATCGAGAAGACTTTCGAAGAATGGATATGCTATTATTGAAGTTGAACAGACAGTACCTTTAGGTTGTACATACACCAATACTGGAGAAGAAGTGTGCGAGGAAACGCTTTCGCTTTCAGACGTTAACCGTGAAATTGATACATGCAAGGCTGGAATACATGTGGTGAACTCTGATAATAATAAAACATCTTCTCACACAATAAAGGTTCGTAAGAATAACTTTATACCTGTCCGTAGGGGCACACATTTTAGTGTTTATCAATTTTTAAAACTGAATTGCCTGTCATCTCGAGGTGTTATTTATTGTGGAAATATTTACAGAACTCGCATCATCAAAACATTTGGAAAAATTGAAAATAAAATGTTAATAGTTTACTGAGGTATATTATATATCTATATTAAGCATATGTCTGCTTCTATATTAAATAGAAGATAAAACGTTTATAGTTTACTTAGGAATATATCTATATTTGAAATGAGTCTTGTCTTTTTCTACATTATTTAGAGTTTGATGGTAGGTGATGTTTGGAACTCCAGCATCAAGTATAGATTTAGATTAACTACAATAGAACATGACTACGATGACAAACTGAAGTTTGACATGGAGTTGCTTGTAACTAAGTCTGAACTGACAGAAGTAGTAAATACTGAGGTAAGATTTTACTGTTGAGCTTTACATGAAGGTGCTTCATACAAAACCAATATAATTTGTTATTACTGAGGTATAATAAAAAATTGTTGGCCTATACATAGAGGTCACACAATCTGTACTTACGGAGTTGGAAGAGAAGAATGTAAAATAAAATTGTTTGCCCATACATGGAGGTGATTCATACGAAACTGATTTTGATGACAATTACTGATGTTAGATAAAATTGTTTGCATGGACTGTAGCAAGATCTGCACTGACAGAAGTGGTTATAACTGAGGTAAGATTAAGTTGTCGAGCTATATATGGAGGTGTTTGCAAAATTTGTCCTGACAGAGTTGGTAGATAAAGTGGTAAACTAAAATTGTTTTCCTATACATGGAGGTGCTTGTTTACACTGACAGAGTTGTTAAATAAGGAGGTTAAAATAAAATTGTCAGCCTATACATGGAGATGCTGACAGTGTTGGTTAAAACAATTGTTGAGGTGTTTCTTATATAGTTTACAGACAGAATTTGAAGAAACCAAATCAGGTAGAATTGATGACATTTTCTCTCCATTAATGATTTGTAATTTAGAAAACTTATAGGGTGTACACCAGTTCTAAAAGAAAATTAAGCACTATTATAAAATTTTAAAATTACAATCATCCATTTCTTTTTTATAGTTCAATAGTATATTACAAATGGTATATCTTTAATTATTTCAGCGCATTGGAATCATTGCGGTAAGAAGAAAATCAGTACAATTCTAAGGATCATATCATTTTAATATCGAAATGCTTTAAAAGTATAAATAACTTTTTATGCTTTATAACGTACATGTATTAAAACGTGTACACTTTTATGCATCTGCAGATATAAATGCATGAAACAAAAGTGCATTTACCTTTTATTTTCATAATTGTCGTAAACAACTGCAATCCTAGGTAATATTTTGTTAAAGACAGCTTTTTGTTTTCAATATTTCTAATCATGTTTTAATTTACTTATTTATTGTTTGTTTTGTGTTGTTGTTTTTTTTTAAAAGGGGTGGATGTGATTTGTGGTATTTGTTTCTTTGCTTTATTTGTTATTTTATTGTAAGCATGTAATGTTCTCTTTCCTTGTAAGATTGTTAGCATTTTATCTTAAGGTTTAGATGAACAATATTCTTATGTAATATAAAGGTTGAAGTGACACACTCGGCAATACATAGATACAAACGATGCTACTCGCATGCTGATCCCCACGTGCGAACCGCCGACGGAAGGTAAGTGTAGCTTGGTCACTTATTATAGAGAGACATGAGGTACCAGGGTTGCGTTTCATAGAATGTGAATAGTCCGAATTCTTAAGACCAAAACTGGGATAGTTGTGTGTTTCAAAGAAAAAAAAATGTCCTGACCTATGACTCTTATATCATGAATGATTCTGAATAGCATTGGTATTTACACATTGCGAATAAAAAGGTTTGTAAATTGAAGTGGCTGCAGTACTTTTTAGTTATTTCTATTTGGCTTCTGGTGCTTACGGTACTCCTTATTCGAATCGTGTTTAAATCACCCATAGTATATTTTGGGCTGCTTTTAAAATGTGTATTTTGACGTCTTGTATTTGTGAAATGCATGCTTCATAACATCTGATCCACTTTTTAAAAAATCCATTTTATTTAGTTCCGTCCATTTGTTTCTAGCATTCCTTTTATTTAAGAATTTAACACGCCGGCCCCTTCATAGAATGGCACTAACATGTCACATTGAAAAGTCCATTATAACCGCCGTGTGATCACATCTGAAGTAATCATTTTACCATTTCATGTTTATTGTTTTAACATTCTTCTCTGGCCGATTGATGCATTTTATGAGAACTTCATCCGACTCATATTAAAAATAGGAACGTAAGTAGTTCCTAAAAATATTTGAATGTAAAGACAGGAATTTTATAATTTTCAAATTGGATTAAGCTTTATAAAATTTGTAAATATCTAAATAAACCACTAGCCCTTAGGACTGCATTTTGTATGTTGGAATATATATTTAGGTTGCATTTTGTATGTTTGTATAGGTATTTCGGGCAACAATTGGTCGGTGATCATATGTTTTATCGAAACCCCAAAGCATTATCAAAAACTTTTGACACATGGGTTTAATGACCAATAATAAATTTACTTTATGTTTTTTAGCACTATTACTATTTTAATTATTTTCATTTTTTTTTTTTGGCGGGGAAACAAGTAATACAAAAAAAATTTAAACCAAAAAATTTTAAATAGATAGCAACTTTTGGCACGCAGCCACTTAATTAACATCTAAAGTTAGATTCTGTGGTACATGTTGTTATGAGCCGGATTATAGCTTCTACGTTGAAGAGAAGAGATGTTTCCAACTTAGTGTTTAAACCAATGTGTTCGTTTTTGAAAAGTAGCAATTGAGCTCAACTTCTATTATCAATTTGAATTTGAAGAACATTAATAGCTTTAAATATTTTAATTATCTTATCATACAACAGAGCGGTCGGTTTTTAATTCAGTACAACAATAATTTTGTTTTCCATACAACGTGTTATTTTCAGCAACAAACAATCTATACTTAGAATGATACTTAAATCTTATTAACATTAAAGGTTCATGAGTATGCCAGAGGGACTATGTAAATAATAATGGCGGAAGCAGTGTGTGCCTTGTGGTGTAGCGATCAGGTCAGGGGCCGATGTCTTTGTAATTAACAGATGTGGCAACTACACGATATTAGACTTCTTACAATGTAATGATGGAGGAATCATTGATGTTCAGCGAATCCATGATTATCGCTACAAGGTTTAGGTTTCTTTTCTTCATGTGCTGCTGAAACATTCAGGGGCTTCAAATACTATTATGTTTTGTTGCTTACATAATTTGGCTGACAGAATTCAATTGTTTTAAGTCTTAAGTCAATTGTTTTATTTTGCATCATGAATTGTGTAATTTGAGCTTAATGTTAAACTTTGCAAAATGCAATTTGCGTTGTAACGTTTGTTTTCATGATTACAATGAAATCTATGTTTTATTAATTGTGTAATTGAAACTTGATGTATGTACGGTTCTTGTATTTGTGATGTGAATGAGCTCAGTGTATGTTTGGTAGGTATAAACACCAATAGGAAACTGTGATCATTGCTAAAATCTTCACTTTTCCTGGGGGGTGAGGACGAGGGATATTGATATTTACTTATCTGCCCCCAAAGATTTCCACAACACTGGACGGGGGACTTTTGGGATATTTTGATGGAAGATAGAAACAATGACTTTTAGACACAGAAATGGCTCCCAATCTTCCACATCAACATGACTATTATGGATATACTGACTTTATAAAAAGTTGGAGGTATGCAGAAATAATTTAGTTGTTATTTGTTATTATTTAAAACTTGTCTCAATTAAATGTTTCCCCAAGTGTTAAAAGATTGAAAGCACAAAATGTTTTTACAAGTTTATTCTTCATTGAAAGATGTAATGTTCAGAATATTTTTGCTTCATTTTTTTACATACATGTACATATCTATTTTACATTAATTTACATATCTATTTTACATTAAATTTTATTTCTATTTTAATTTATATATCTATTCTACATGAATGTATAAACCTATTCTACCTATTATACATTAGTTTATATATTTATCCTACATTTAATTATATATCTATTCTACATTGATTTATATTCGAAATATTAGTGTGTCTGAAGTATCACTTTATAAAAATAGATTACTAGATGAGGAAAACTTCTTACATAATGAAAGCCGTGTCTTAGAGAAATGGAATGTTAACAATGGAGCATCCATGGATGAAGCTTGTTCGAACGGTAACTCGATATCTAAGAATAAATGTCAATTTGGCGGAGAGAAGAGAAAACGGCGAGATGTCGTCACAAGAATTGGAAAAGAAATAAAGTCAAATATTAATAACATGAGAGAAAAGGTAAGTTGTTCAGCAAAATGTGAATGTAAATTCAATGTTGAAATTGTTTATATGGCTACAATATACTTATATGCATAATGAGATAATTACTAAATAACTGATGATATATTATCTTTTTATACTGCATGAACGTTTAGACAATAATCCTTTGGGTTTATTTACTTATTTATTTATTCTTTTTTTTTCATACATATATATTTAGTCATTTAGGCTTGCTGGCGGTGTGTACAGTTTTTTTCTGCCATTCAATTACGTTAAATAATTAAGAACGACGCATTAATTTATATTAACTTATATTTTTATAGAACTGATTCATTGGAAAAAAGAATGAATATCTCCACAGAATTATTAAACAATCAAATTAATCAAACATATTTATCACCAAGCAACAACAGTTTTCAAATGGAAACAAAAACTCCTTTACAATGATATATTAAGAAAAAATGGAAATCTAATACCAATTTCTCAATTTTATCCAATAGAGAAGTACTGGAGGGGACATTTCAGACGATGAAGCTCGTGAACTGTGTAACACCTCTATAACTGGAGCCCCATCCGTCAAAGAATTATCGGACCAGCTTGGCGATGAAGATACAAATATTGTGTTAGAGCAATGCGTGTATGATATTATTTTAAGTTTACTCTTATTTAATAAAGTTTGATTTTTATATAGAAACATTAGAACTTTATGTAACATTGTTTTACAGTACCAACAATTCCAAGTGTCATCTGTGATACCTCGGGGCAACAGATTTAAGCGGTTAAAAATACGGTCTTATCATTTATAGAAGGCATTCGGTAAAACATTTGTAATATAGTTTGGGCATCAATCTATACCCATTTTCTACATAACTTAATTACTTATTTAACATTATAGCATGGTAACAGTACAGTATGGGCGTCAGCACATGTCGATGCTCTCAATAGTATAGCATCAACAGTGATCAGTCTGAGTCCTGATTTTGCTGCTAACAATTCTGAAACAGTAAAAGCATTCCTGTCACAGACATGTACAAATAACTGTAGTGGACATGGAGTATGCTCCGATTCAGGTCAATGTTTGTTTGTTTTTTATTCTGTTGCTTTTGTTTGTTTTTTGTTGTTTTTGTTTTAAGTTTTTTATGTTGTTGTTTTTTTTTGTGTCTTTTTTGTGTTAATAAATCTTGATTTGAATTAATTAGTATTAATATAATGTCATGTAAAAGATTATTTAGGGTTATTTTAATTTATTTCAAAAAATTTTTCTTTTAAACCCTTTAAAGAAAAAAATAAATGTTTTGTGTTTAATTTCCCGGATTGTCCGGGTTGTAGGATTTTTTTCCGGTGGACCCCGGGCTGTGTTTTTGATTTAAAGAATTCCCCCAATTATCTATTTACTAAATTACTGGGTTTTTGGATACCCGCTGAAAGGGAATGAGTGTGATTTTTTTGTTATTTCGGGAAATGATAACATATTTGATGGGGTTTTAAATACGAAAAAAACAACTTTTTAGGGAAAAAAAATATTTTTTTACTTGTTTAAATTGTTTATATAAAAAGTTAAGGTTTTTTTGGGGAAAATTTTTCCCTTTGGCCCTTTTCAGTAAATTTAAAAAAAGCCACTCGATAATTGCCCTGCAGATATGTTTTCACATTATCGTGTCGCTTTTGTGACTTCGTAACATTTGGTATTGCAAGACCGTGCATATATTTTGACGTGGCGTCTTTTACGTTAAATAAACATAGTGTTCAGACGCGCAAAATGTTGGCGTTACACTAAAGGTTTGCCAATTAAAATGAGTCCTTTTTCCCTTTAAACAGCATTTATTTTGAGCATTTGATAAATAGAACATTATATTCTGAAAGTTTCATTACTGAATTTTATCTGAAAGTTTCATTACTGAATTTATAGAACGATATCGCATAATATAGTTTTATTTAACTCGTTCAGTAAAGTCAGTAAAGAAACTACACTCATTTATTATCCTCTTTTTACGACACACATGCTTCTGATTTACAATTTTTCTGAAAATTTATTTGCAAACGTCACAATTTTTTACTTTTTTTTTCTTTGTTTTTGTTTGTTCCTCTATTTGTTTTGATTAATTTACAAATTTGTGAAGTCTTTTTGAATATTTTGGGTTTGTTCGATTGGGACAAAAAACAAGGGAGGGAAGTTTTAACTTAATGTCGGGAAAGTATGAAGATATTATTTTCCGGGGGGAGTGTGGCCCACCCCGCGTTTTCCCAAAAGTTCAACGGATTTATTCCCAAAACCCTTTTGTCCCTGTGGGGTTTTACTTTTTTAAAGTAAAAGGACGGAGGGGAAAATTTGGGGCCAAAAACAAGTCCGGGAATATGTTTTTGATTCCCCGTGTTTTTAATTTACCCTTTTATCACCGGTGGGGGTCGGGGATTAAATCTTGAAAGGGAGGGGTTCAAAAAAGATATTTTTGTTTTACATTGGTTTTGAATTTCAAATTCAAGATATGTTTTTGCATGTAAAATTTTGAAATTTACAAGGCCTAAAAACTGTTCTTACGGGGGACATTTAAAAACCTCATGATTTTTCGAATTTACCGTCGTGAATTCACAATTCAAACTACGCGAATTCCCGGTTTCAACATACGGAATTCGCAAAATTCATGATTTCAACCTCATAATCGCTACTTCATGAAGTAATGTTTCGAAACTTTTGAACTTCACTATTTCAACTTCGCGAATTCACGATTTCAACTTTATGAATTCACATTTTAATTTCACGATTTCAACTTTTCAATTTCACAATAATTCGAAATCGGCTTATTCCGCTTAAGTCGAAGAATTGACTAAATGTCAAATATAAAAATGTATATGGGAAAGTAATGTCAAGTACAACGTCAAAGAGTCAGATCACGGGGAAAATTTAGGTCCCTATCAATTTTAGTTTTTTCAAAAAATAAAATTCATCGATTTTCCCCGTCAAAAAAAATTTTAAACCCCCACGTTAAAATTTTCTTTTTCCCTTTTTTTGTTGTTCAACCATGAGGAAAAATTTTGTTTCATCGGGGGATTTTGTTTTTTACGGGGGGATAGCCCCCCTTACAAATTTTCATGGACGGGTTTTTTGTGTTGCAATTTTCCCAGAAAAAAACCCTTTTAATTTGGGAAAATTAAAGGTTTTTTGGTGAGTTTTTTCAATTTCCCTTTCCCAAATTTCCCGGGAAAAATTTACCCAAAGTTTAACTTACATTTGACTTTTAAAATTTTTACGAACGGTCGGGGGTTGGAATGTTGTTAGTTTAAATTTAAAAATCATTCGAATAATTTTGGGGTCTTTATTTAATAATACATTGATTCTATTTTGAAAATTTTGTATTGCTGTTGTTTTTCTTTTTATTTGGTTTTATAAGATTTTTGTTTAAAATGTTTTAACAAATTTTAGTTTCCTGTAATGATGACGACATCGGTTTATCGTCTGCTGCACTTATCGGCATCATAGTTGGTTCAGTCTTTGTTGGTATCATAGCAACCGTTGCCGTGGTTTATGTACGATGTTACAAAGTAACGAAGAATCGACGGTAAATATAAATGTTTATACGTTTATAATATACTGTAGATAGTTATTGATTTAATTTTTTCTCAAATGGACAGACTCAATAAATGTGACAAAGACGTATGTTGTGCTGTTGAATGTTGTGCTAAAGGTCGAGCCAGCTTCACATTCAAGCTCGACACTAACAAAAGGGGAAGAAAACGTATGTCAGTATGGATGTTGTGCTGAATATCGAGCACATGCCAGCTCAACATAAATCAAAGGACTGCAAGCTCTGGTATTTTCTGATCTTTGCAATCTAAATATTACTGTATATCTGTATGTATTTTCCTGTATAAGTTTATTTTTATGCACTATAAATTATCTTGCAGGGCACCAGAGTTTGATACATACGGAATTTTGCATAACTAGAATTGCATCAAAAAATCATTTATGTTCATTTTTTATGACAGCCACACTTTATCACTGTATATCGTGGCTACTTCCTTAACAAAGGCACTTAAAAATATATAAAAGAAATGTTGCCTCGAGTTTAATTTGAACACCAGACCTCTCACACACTAAACTAGCGCGTAACTCCTGCACCACGGAGAAGTTATACGAAGAAAGCCTGAATAAAATCAAGTTATTCTAAATTTAGAATTGCCATTGCATTTTGGGTTTGTAATCTTTATGAATTTCGAGGTATTTTGTTCATGTTTTATAATTGATGTAAATAATTTAGCGAAAATCTTCTCACCAAAACAGTCCGACATGTAGAATCTATATATTCCACTACTCGACAGTCAGATTTATTTGTGTAGTATTCGGTAATCGACATCGCTAAAAATAGCAGTTTCATTAATTAAAATCATATTCATCCGCGTAATTTTTGATTGTGCATTTATTGGCAATTCTATAAGCCAATGCTACTTTCAAATATTGAATGCGTTATAATTTGTTGGATATTTGTAACAAAAAAAAAATATATTTCTTCCTTTTAAATCGCTAGTTTTAAGCTGTTTAGAGAACTACTTGTTGTTAGGTTTGTCGTTAACCCGCTGTGTCAGAGGTTGATCTTCGATCAGAAAATACAACAATCGTTACAGCTTCACATTCAATCCGAACAGTGATAAATCGAATGCCGAGCTGAATGTTTAATTTCGGTATCTGTGCTTACTTCATAGACTTATTAAACCGAAGGAAACGAGTTTCTGAACAAAAAATCTTGCTTTCATAGCTATATATATCTAATATAAAATATATTGTTGCATTTACCGGAATATTTCTTTTCTAGGGGTATTTTCTTTATGGACCTTAATTTTTATTCTTAAAGTATCTGTTTTAAGATTAGGAAAATATGTGTTATAAGTTTTGTTTTCGGTCTCATATAATCATCCGCCGACTTTGATTAGTTCTATTCGTTTGCTTATCTTCTGAGTACTATATAATCAAGCAAAATAAAAATTCATAATGAGTAAGAATAAGAGTTGCTTTCTGTGCCGCATTTACCAACAAAACATTTAAATCAATAATTTATAATGCACATGATCGTTTTAATTTACATACAACTTTTTTATATTTGAAACAGAACTGTGTCTGTGGGTGATATGAATTCAAGCCAGGCGTACTTATCAGCGGGCCCAGCTGGAGAAACATGGGGTGGTGACAAACATTAAAATATGAAAGAAAATGTTGTTGGTTATGTCCTACTTTCATGAATGGAATTTAAAATGTTGCTCATTTTCTTACTTTGTGTGCGTGTGTGATAATTGTAAACAGACACTTATCTTAACATACACGTGTTGTACAGATTGCGAATATATTTAGTCAAAGAGATTTTTTAAGTAAAGTTACCAATGGTACATGTTGTTGTTGTTGTTGTTTTCAATGTTTTGTTATGTTTTTGTTAGTTTTCTTTTGGGGGTGGGGGTTGTTCTTGTGTTCTTGTGTTTCAATAATAGAAATTTTGTAAAACATGAAAAAACAATCATTTATAATTTTTTAAGTATATATAGTATGTATAAAGTAACCAAACTGGGCGCGGTTTCAGAGTGAGGGTTCAAATTCAGGGTGGAGCACGGAATTAGGGTGGGCGCCCCTAGAATTTACAAGTTAACCCTCAATAACGACTTGTTTTAATGATTCCCATGTTTAATGTTTCCTATAGAAAAGAATTGAGTGTCTTGCTGTTCTTTCATGTCTTATGTTTAATGTTCTTATAGAACAAAATGAGTGTTTAATGTATCAAAAATGGCACCGGAATGCACCACTTACACGTAAATGTTTACATTTTGGAGCCGTATCCTCATAAATGTGAAGCTTATCCTCTCCCGTCCCTTTGTACGTGTAATGTCACTTATACAAACACTATGCTCTGCTATTATTGTTCTTAATGTGTCAGTTTTGACTTAATAAACATATTATTATCATGTAATTGTTTATTTATTTATTTATTAATTCATTTGTAATGTTTTACTGCTCCCATGCCTTATATAATGAATATCATGGCAATGTTTTACATGTATTCCTATCCATGCCTTATATAATAAATGTCATAGCAATGTTTAAAATATGTCTCGTGTCTGATGCAATGCATTAATTTTGGATGATATACACGTGCTCTTACTCCTACCTTATATAATGTACATCATGGTAATTCATACTCGTGCTTTATATAATTTACACATGTTATACAGGACATGGCGATCTCTTGCACGTATTCCTACTCATGCCGGATATAATGCAAAAATATTGTTCTATTGCTGGACATTTAATGACAAACAATATTATTTCACTATATATCATTTTGTACCCAGACTCAGTCATATTGTTACCATACAAAGTTATTTTATAACAAGACTGGTTATATTATCATCATATTTGTTTTAAAAAAAACTAGACTAAGTTTAATAGCCTTCAAAATGTACAACCAAGTTACATATTAAATCCAATTGTTATATATTGCTTTATATTTTTACACTATACTGCATGAATTTATCTCGGGTCTGTTTCAAACAGAAAATCATATATGTTAATCATTAAAAGCGTAAAACCAATGACAGTAAATGTGTAACAGAGATACAAAGAAAATGTAAATGTAAAGCAAAATAACATAATTATTAAATGTAATAGCAAAACAGGTATTGCAGTCATTCTTTGTAATCATTTTCTATACAAAATTATACAGTATTATAAGCTTGGTTAACCAAGTGTAGAGGGTTTTTTTAAATATATTTTCTTACAACAAAAATTGTTGCTATTTATTGCAATGCCCAGACAAGAATCAGTCTGATCGGTAACTATCCGGACAGTAGGCTATCGTCCGTTGACTAATACCATCCCGGGCTGTAAGCTAATGCTACTTATTTTAATAATATACATGGCATCCATAAATAAATTAATTGAAATTGATTGATTACATTACAACAATAATGGGGTAAAAGAGCATATTGGCAACCGGAGGAGTCGATGCTAATTCGAGAGACATGTCTTTTTGTTGTTGTTGTTGTTTTTATTATACCAAACCAACATTTTAATGTAATTTTTCAACGCTATGACAGCAATTCATCATTGAGTGTGATCAGGGTAGAGAACTATAACATAACTCTTTCTTTAGTCTATACAGATTACTCGCCCCTGGGGAATAATGCAAAAACAAATTGACTGGGTGTTACTTATTTCGAAGATGATAGATCGAAATAACACCATGTCACATCAAGTTCATCCAATCGAGATACAGCAATTTTTCATATGACAACAATTTTCTTTACTTGCTATGGCAGTAAACGCACTATAATAGTAAGAAACATTTATCAAATTGAGCTCTAAATTTAAATCTAAAATAAATTCAATATAATCCTACCATTAATCATGTACAATCTGAATGCATATTGGTTTCCCAAAATTACCAATAGACCATTGATACAATCGAGTTTTAAAGTTTGAAGGCCTTGTTTCTCGAAATGGTAAAAAAATGCAGTAGGCTCATTGTTATATTTAGTCGGCGATTTGTGAACTCAACAGACGGTAAGCGATTGATTGATTGATTGATTGATTGATTGATTGATTGATTGGGTTATGTAACTCCGACACAGTATAGATCATATGGCGACGTCCTAGCTTTACTGGTGGAAGAAGACGGCGGTGAGAGGCAGGAGGTTTGAAGTCAATAACCTTAATCACTCGGGCGCCCCTTGAAATATATTGTTATTGTTTTTTAAGATATTTCATTTTGTTTTATACACTTTTTTGAGACTGTTGTCCACATCACGATAAATGGAGAAATATTGGTCACTTATGATGATTTGATAGGCAACCGTGTATTTAGTATTTGAATAGTACATATTGCTCTAAACATAGATGGTTTTTTTTGGCTCCTAAATTGTGATAGTTAAACAAAAACATTTATTTATTAACCACTACGAACACTGTATGTTATTTATCGCTTCTTATGTTTCAAACATAATAAATGAAAAATTCCAACATGTGAAATTTACATTTTTATACTGTGCTTGAAATGATTTATGACGTAAATAAAAGTTTTTTTTATGCTATTTGTTTTACAAAACTCACAAAAATATGTGTATGGTGAGTATTTAAGTAAGTATTATAAAATTTAACTATTTGTTTCCTCTAGTAAGTATTTAACGTTCACATTTTATCATAAAAAAGTCAATGTTGAAGTGAATTAATGCGAATTAAATGGAAAAAGATAATTTTATATTAATACTAGTATTTATTTTACCTATTAGAACGGTCATACAACAGAGTTCAACCTTACAGGGACTCCACAGATGGGAATCTGACATATCTGGAAATAATTTTTCGAGATTTCTGCTCCATTTGATGTAGGTTGAGTGCAAGCTCATTCACTCACTCAGGTTTTCCAGATAAGTTAGTCTAATTGTGAAAAATGAGCGTCGCAACGCTTATCACTCAAATTTGATATCTTGCATATCTTTCCCATAAGTGTCCAAGCTGATCTATTTAAGATTTTTTTTTTATTTTATAATTCTAGGCTTTTGTACCTTAGTTAAATGTTTTTGTTGGCTCTAAAGTCTTGAGTCTTTAAATAACGGTTGACCTCCCCACCCCCTCTCTCCCATTATTTGTTTGAAGATTAATTTATAAGCAGTTGGTATTTGTTATATCTTATAGATAGACAAGTCAATATTTGGACCATTAAGGTCTCCTAGTTTGATAAGTATTGGTATTTATTTTCTAATGAATACAAGCTACTGCCAGTGATCTAATGTATATCGCATTAATGGGTTTCCAATACGTTTGAGGCATGACGGGACTAGAAATATTTTTTTTTCTTCAGAGATTTATGTACTAGTGGATGTAGGTATGGATAAATAACAGGTATGTAAATATTCAGATCATTCCTTCAATCAATTTATCCAAAAATCCTCATTTATATAGTGCAAAATGACTGAAAAATGAAAAGCGTTTCAATGCCTTTCACTCAAATTGTGCTAAGAATCGCTCAAAAAGTTTAGTTCCCTTTTAATATTGAGCATATTTAATATTAACCGTTGTATACTTTTCCTATTTTATTAATTTCATTTGATCTAAGCAAGATTTTCATGTTTTATGTTCATAGGTTTTTTGGCTAATGTGGAGGTCCTTTAATCATGGTTCAATAAGTTCATTTTTTCGTTCCTCTGACATTTATTATTCATGAATACATTTTTGTTACACAACTTTCAATGTCGTTAAAAAGTGAAGTAGAAACTGTTAAACCCTAAAGGAAAATATGTGACCATAAATTATAAGATATAAAAGTGGTGTTCACTACCAAACCACAGCGGACCATTACGACAGAATGTCGTCAAAGAACATGCAAAGATTTTATGGCTTACATTTTTTTGTGATAGTTTGTTGCTTCAAAATAGGTGAGTGAATATTGTCTATGAATGCTTATATTGCTTAAGTTTATGTGTGTGTATTTTTTCCACCATTGTTTCATTTGTTATGTCAACCTTCAAAGCAATTATTATTTCATCTAAATATGTGATTTAAGTATAATGCTAGAAGGGAAAACGAATTTGGTCTTAAACATTTATTTGTAAATGTTATCAATTAATTGAATGAGTGCACGAAAAACATGTCTTGTAATTAAATGCATTTTCAGTAATAGATACCAACCCTTTGTTCAGTTCATGACAGAAAGCGCTCACTTTAATTTTATGTCATATTTTGTTTTTTTGTTTTTAGTTTTTTTTTTGTTTTTTTTTTTCCTTTTTGCAGCATAATTCATATTGATTGCATGATTGATTACATGTCGACATGTGAAAAAGGAACACTATAACTTTTTCTTTGTTGATTATATAATGCAATCAAATAAAATGACTGTATGATTTTACGTCATTACAGGGAGTGGAACATGTGACAACTTGGGTAACGTGTATTATATTAGCAACGAAGCTTATTACAATTGGTATGTTGGAAACAGCGATAGCAACTGGAGCAATAGCTCATTTTGGGGAGGTCACGTTCAAATTCCTTGGAAAGAAAAGATCAACAAAAAATGCTCAAAAGCACCATACCATTATTTTGCTGTGTTAAAAGGTAATGGTTACTATATTTATTTTATAGGGGAAAAACGATATATGCATCATTTAAGAGTATTTTTGTTCCTATAATTCGGGCACGATAAACAGAACTTTCGTCAGTTCTAAAAATACAAGCACGGTCTATTAAAAAAATAACACAGAAAAAACATACTAGGTACTACTGCAAGCGATTAACCAAATAATTACTACGTGTATTAAACTTATATAAATGCGCGTTATTGTACAAAGTGAATTCAACAAGTGGGTTCGAAACCTAGTGGAAACTCTTTTTTCTTTCAAGTTTTAATTTCTTATTAGACAAAATAGAAATATTATTACGCATATGAACTTTAGGGTATTGTAGTTTTGTGTCTCCTAAAATCTGTTAAAATATTCATGATGTTAATACATTTGTAATAAGAAATATAATGAGATATGAGAATAAATGAGATGAAGATACTTTGGTTTAAAGCCACTGACCTCCAGATGGTAAAATGAAAAATATGAAATAAAATTTCAAGTAAACAGTAAATACTGATCAAGTTAGATTGATTGTATAAATCCATCATCACTGACACCTTAAGTCAAGAAAGAATGTTGACAAAAGCGTAAATATCTCGGGTTTTTCTTTTCCATAATCTACTACGTTAATAACGCAGTAGCCAATATAAATCATTTAACGCGGTCACGTGTCACAACAGTGGTCCGGAAAAATCCCAGTATCCAGTATGCCCGGGATCGTTTCTAAATTTTCGCCATTGAGTAGGCCCATATCACAATTCAAGCTAAAGGTTAAATTGATAAATTGGTCATCATTTATATGAAATAATTATTTAATTATAAATTTAAGGGCCACGAATTACTTAAAATATAAAAACAAACGCAATACTGGTATTCCTATATGTTTGATAAAATCCCAGATTCCGTGCGTTCCGGAGCACAGGTCGCGATATTGTCCTGTACGATCACCTGATACTAGAAAAAAAAGAATTCCGTGGTATAATAAAAGAAACTATTTCCCGTTGGTGGAAAAATAAGATCAATAAAGTTAAAATATGAACATTTTGAAGTGTCATTTCGTTTTCTTTCAACTATGTAATGTTTTTGAGGGGGGATTTTGAAATATTAGCAAGACGGCAGTTTGTCTGCTATCTTCTGGAGGTCAGCTGCTTTAAAGGGACAATGATAAATAATCGATCGCATTACATGCATTATGTAGTTTTTTTATGAATAATACTAAGAAGGGAAAAACAACTTTTTGAAGCCTGTTAGCCCTCTGCCATGAAGTAGGTTCCTTTAGAGCTTAGTGCTGTACCGATTGAGCTATTGCCATATTTAATCCTCACTTTTACAATTATCAGTCAAAAGTTCAATCAATCAGGACATGCAACATTTTATTTACCCATATAGATGTATTATTAAAAAGGACTGTTCCAAACTATTAATATATATGAAGAAATTTCTGTTTAACGTTGCTCAGATTATAGTATTTTATAAAGAGGTTATACTTAGGTCATATGGAGATGTTCCAGCTAAACTGGTGGAGGAAGACCTCCGGTGCCCTTCCTTCCGTGCATTATTTCAGGCACGAACGGGCATCTGTGTAGAAGCTAGTTGGATAGCTTCCTCACATGAAAGAATCCAAAGATTCGAACCCACATCGGTGAAGGCCAAGTGGTTTGAAGTCAATGACATTAACCACTCGGCCACGGACGCCCCATTTTTTTTTTTATTTTTAGATAGTGAAATCTATGTATGTAAACCCCTGTTAAAACAGATCAATACTACATATGCATACAAGAACGTTTCAAAATTAAAGAACAAGGTATTAAGCTAGAAACAAGTAATTACATATAAACGCACGATAGATAAAATACTAAATCTGTTTCTTCATATTAGAGGAGCACGTGGATATAGCGGATATAGGTGAAGATGTCGTTACAGCGGAAATTTTCATATGGAATCAGACTGATGAATGCATTAGAAATTCCACGGTAGAAATGAGAAATTGTAATGGTCACCTTCTATACAGATTTACATGGAACTACGACATTTACCAAAACACTTTGGTTTGCTTTGGTATACTTTAGTTTTGTTTCCTTTATAAAAATAATACATTGTAAAACATGATATCTTATGATAAACTCCTTTAATAATCATAAATACTATTAACTATTCTTATATGTCAAATGTAATATGTAAATAAACACAGGTTTATTGGTAATGCCTCGGGTAACAGTATTTTACGAGGGGTAATATTGTTACTGTTACTCACAAACCAATGTGTTATTCATTTTATTGCCCCGAACAAATACTGTGATTTTCTGAAAGTGTCAACTAAATGTAATTGTAACAAAATTAAACCAAGAGTAACAATAACTGTTTAAACTGTCCTTACCTTGCAATTTATAAATGTACTGTAGGCCCACTTGAGGAGTTATTTTTAGCTCACCTGAGCTAGCTCAGGGTGAGCTTTTAGGATCGTTGAATGTCCGTCGTCCGTCGTCTGTCATACTTGTTCGTTAACACTCTAGTGGTCATATTTTTGCCTAAATCATCATCAAACTTTGTCAGGATGCTTATCTATGTAATAGCTCGGATGAGTTCGAACATGGGTTATCTCGGATGAAAAACTAGGTCACAGGAATTAAAATAGAAAAACCTTGTTAACATTCTAGCGGTCACATTTTTGCCTCAGTCGTCATCAAACTTGGCCAGGATGCTTATCTAGGTAATAGCTCAAATGAGTTCAAACATGGGTCATCTCGAATAAAAAACTAGGTCACAGAGCTAAATATAGAAAAACCTTGTTAACACTCTAGTATCGAAATATCCTGAAAATTGGTTTGAAAGTCTGTTTTGAAGATTTCTATGGTTAGTTTGTATTTGGGTCACCTAAGGTCAAAAACTAGGTCACCGCCCAAATATGAAAAAAAAATCTTGTTACTCTAGTGGACACATTTTTGACTCTCGGATGAAAAACCAATGAAAAACTAGGTCACATGAGCTAAAAGTAGAAAAATCTTGTTGACACTCTAGTGGCTACGCTACTGTTTTAATCCAATTATCCTTGAAATTGGTCTGAAAGTTTGTTTTGATGTTTTCTAGGTCAAGTTCGAATATGGGTCACATTGGGTCAAAATCTAGGTCACACTAGTCAAATATGAATAATCCTTGTGAACACTAGTGGTCACATTTTTTGACTCACCTGTCATGAAACTTGGTCTGAGAATGCTTGTCTAGGTAATTGTTCGGATGAGTTCGATGGGTCAGGTGAGCGATCTAGGGCCATCTTGGACCGGTTGTTCTTTTATTCTTTAAGTAAGTGAGGATATATACCAGTCATAAACATACAATAAACTATATTTTATTTAGAAAACAAAACACAAACCCATTTATACGGTTATGATATCTGAAATCTGATCCTTCTGTATCCAGAATGTTCGTCAAAGTGCATTTACAAAATATCGATGGTATTCTATGTTTGTACACCATATCTGTACTGTTTCATTGATTAAAAGTGTTAAATATTCCTTTGTTGCAAAGTTTAATCGTCTGCATGTTTTAGTTTGACACTAATTATTCCCATTGCAATTACTTCCGATGAAAACGGATGTTTACTTTTTAAGTATTCAACAAAAAGATGTTTTATTCGCAAAATCACTGCAGGGTGCAAACAATTAAATGTTATAGGTTTCATAATCACTCTGGTGATGCCCTATCGTGGTGAACTTTGAAAATAAGAATGAATCGAGAAAAAACTGGCGGCCATTTTATTTTATTTCATTTAAAAAATAGACCACGTGACCAGATGTTATACTGTAAAAAAGGACTGTACAAATATCATAGTTCCGTGGCTCACTTGCATTAACAGTAAGAACACCACCTATGGGAAATTAACATTACAAAAAAAGTGAGGGGTAATATACTTAAGAACAACGGAAACGCACGCCCGCATTATTTAATATTTCACGCGTTTCGACAGTAATAGTGTGAAATTATTGTCGTTATTATTATAGTATTATTGCGCGTTACGCATTCAAAAGGGTGAATACTAGTCGTCAGTCGTGTTTAATGAATCGTGACTTAACTCAATATGTATATTGTAATGTGTATAGAGGGTCATTCTACCAGACGATTTCACAGAGACACGTTGTATAAATATTTTACACTCCAAATTAGCACGTGGCAGCTGTTGCGACTTGGGATGGAAGAAAGCAGTATTTTATCGAGTTTAGGGTCTTTGTTAGATTCTAGATTGCAGACAATTGAGAAGAAAATATACGAAATATCACAAAATCAAATTTCGGCGTGTACTAGTGGTACTTATGTTTTCAAGAAAAAAGGCCACGAGCAACAGTTTATGGTGAACGCTAAAGTTATGGAAAAAATGAGACAAGCAGACGGTTATCTTGCCCCCATTACTGAGGAATATTCGAAATCGTCTGCTAGCAGTGCCAGAGAAAAGATTTCAGAAGGTATGGACATTTTGTCACATCGTCAAAAATGTCTAAAATTAGCCGACAGTTCAGAGCATGGTTGGCGTGTCGTACAAGAGTACGAGTCTCATCCATTTGCGGAAAACTCCGACGATGAGAAGAAAATCTACAAGGCACAAATTCAAGCAGATAGGAATGTTCGCCAGGAACGTCGAGTACGAGCTAGACGTTTTTTACTGTACCGTGCTACTAAAGCGCCGCCAGCTACAGATAGTCATCCTCCGAATTAACAGACATCAAACAGGAAACCAGGGCTATGCTTCAAGAGTGGGAAACCCGGGCATTGGCGGGCAGAGTGCCGCATGGACTTGCAGGCTGATAAGAATGGCAATACACAGATAAGTATAAATTATGGTTCATTTTTGTTAAATGAAGTTGAGCAGTCTGATAACTTTAGTATTGAGAAAATAAAGTTAAGCTATAAATGCTCTAATGATTTGATAAAGAATGTTTCACATACGTATGACAACGATAACATTTCATTTTAGATAAGTAGTGTCTCCGGTTGGGAGATTGCATAATTGCATTAAGCACTGGCAAGAGGCGGAGCCAGGTTAATATATTTTAAGTGTAGTTTCAGAAGGATATAAGTTGCCTTTTAAAACGTTACCAAAATCTGTTGAACTTACAATTAATAGGTCTGCCAGAGAAAATGCTGTTTTTGTTTCGAGTATGATTCGAACCCTTCTCACTAAAGGTTGTATAGAAAAAGTTGCAGAGGCACCTTTTGTGGTAAACCCGTTAACTGTTGCTTATAATAGGCATGGTAAACCGAGGTTAGTCTTAGGCTGCCGACATTAACCCAGATTTATTCAAGTACAAATTTTGTTATGAAAGTCATGACTTGGCGAGCCAAATCTTTTCAAAAGGTGATTTTCTGTATACTTTTGATATTAAAGGGGCGTATCATCATATTATGATTTTTCCCCAACATGCTACTTATTTAGGGTTTTCATGGACAGAATTGGGACAGAAGAGATATTTTGTGTTTCGGGTTTTGCCGTTTGGTATATCTACCGCCTGATATATATTTACGGGTAGTAATCAAGATATGGAATAATTTGGGGATGGAAATCATTTTGCTTTTAGATGATGGTTTAGGTGGAGCTAGTTCTCTTGAGATGGCCAGGGAAAACAGTATTTTTGCTAAAAAAGATTTGATTAGTTTCGGTTTTCTGTTAGCCGAAGATAAGTGTCAGTTGGAGCCGACCCAGCAAACTATTTGGGTAGGCTATTTTTGGAATACATGTGAGGGTTTGCTGAAAGTAACGCAAGAAAGAATAGATCGGACTGAATCATTATTACAGTTTATTATTACTTCTGTATGCAAGAGCGTAGTTTTGTTTTCGGTCAAAAAGGTAGCATGTTTAACGGGTCAGTTGATATCGATGATGAGTGTTTTTGGTTCTGTAGTAAGACTCAGAACCAAATATTTATATGAATGTGTAAATAGCAGAGTAAGCTGGAATGCTGCAGTCAAAATAAGCAGTGGTGCATTTGATGAGCTTATTTATTGGAATACACATTAGAAATTTGAACAAGGGTTCGTTATTTTCTGAAATAGGTGATACGGCATACGTCTTTGTTGACGCCAGTGGAGCTGGAAGTTGTAATTATGCAAACGTCTTTGTTGACGCAAGTAATGTAGGTTTTGGGGGTTACATACAGGGTATTGCAGACAGCGATGTTATCGGTTCTTGGTTAGAATCCGAGAGCATTTTGAGCTCCACCTGGCGTGAGCTTGAGTCTGTATATAGGGTAGTACACTCAAATTTACCTTGTCTCCATGGTAGAGAAGTGTTGATAAACACAGATAATAAAAATGTGTGTAGTGTGTTGCAAAATGGTAGTAGCAAACCACAATTGCAAGAGATAGCGTTAAAGGTAGATAAATTGTGCGATGACAAACAAATTAATTTACATTCTCGTTGGTTACCAAGAAAAAATAATGTTGAAGCTGATTTTCTGAGCAGATGTTCGGACAGTGATGATTGGTCAGTTGTTGACTGGATTTTCAAAGTATTAGATGATAAATGGAGAAAGCATACCTTTGGCCGTTTTGCGTGTCATTACAACACTAAATGTAAACCCTTTAATTCAAGATACTGGTGTCAGGGTACACCAGGTATAGATGCTTTTGAGCAACTTTGGGTCGGTGAGAACAATTGGTTTGTTCCACCGCCAAGATTAATAGAAAGGTGCGTCAGTAAAATTAATAGCGACAAATGTAGTGGTACTTTAGTGGTGCCATGTTGGCATTCGGCACTATTTTGGCCATGTCTTTTTCCGGCAGGGAAACCAGCGAGCTTTATCAAATATGTATTTATGTTTCAGCCTGGAGTTCTTACGAAGCGTGGTTTTGGCAGAAACGACGGCCGTTGAATTTTAGATTAATAGCTATAGGATTTTGATATGTACAGGTGTGTGTTATATTTTGCGTTTTCCTTCAGGTTTAAACTTGAGACGGTGCATTGAGGATGAGGTACAGAAATCAGGCGTTTCATACAGTTCTTTTAAAGATACCGCTGGGAAGATGACTGATTATCTTGTTAGCTCTAAAAGGGACAGTACAGTGAAAAGTATTATTATTATTTTCTGAAATGGGAAAAATATATTAAATCAAAGGGAGGCAAGAGTGTTCCAGCTTCGCCAATTCTAATAGCTATGTACTTAACTGAGTTAATAGATAAAAAGTGTTCTTATGCCATGGTTTTTTCTACGGTCTACGGAATTAAATGGGCTCATTCACTCCGTAATCTACCAGATCAAACTTGTTTATAAAAAACTTATTAGAAACATCTAAGCGTCTGTATTCTAAACCGGTCAACAAAAAAGAACCAGTTTCTACAGAAATGATTACTGAACTTTGTGCAAAGTATGCAAACAGTATTGACATTTTCGTAGTACGAGATTTATGTATGATTTTATTGGGTTATGTTGAATTTTTAAGGTTTGATGAGATACGAAATCTCCGTTGTAATGACATTACTTTTCATGACAATTATTTTTCTTTGAAAATTAACAAAAGCAGAACTGATCAGTATCGTTTTGGCTCAGAAATTGTTATGTTTCTTTGAAAATTAACAAAAGCAGAACTGATCAGTATCGTTTTGGCTCAGAAATTGTTATTGCAAAAGGGGTTTCTGAAGCATGTCCATACGTAATGCTACAACGGTATTTAAGAATTTCAAAACAATGTATAAGCAGTCCTAAATTTTTATTTCGTCCTGGTATACGGTCAAAAGGTAATGGTTGTCTGATTTATAAAGACAAATGTTTGAGTTACACTCGAGCAAGGGAAACTTTGTAACACAGGTTGAGAGAGGTAGCAGGAGATTTGAACTTGGGATTGCATTCCTTACGGTCTGGTGGTGTAACTGCTGCTGCTAATGCAGGTGTGAATGATCGGTGTTTGAAACGACACGGTCGTTGGAAGGTTGACAGTAGTAAAGATGGCTATATTGCCGATTCTTTGGACAGGAGATTAGAAGTATCTAAGCTTTTAGGATTATAATACTTTTTGTTGTTGTTTTACAATCCGATACAACACCAGTCTTTTTTATTTTCTAAACGTTCGTCTGGCCTTGCATATGGTGTTGTGTTGTTATTTTAGTTTAGCAAAGACTTAATATTTCACGCGTTTCGATAGTAATAGCGTGAAATTATTGTCTATCGCGTTACGCATTCAAAAGGGTGAACACTGGTCAGTCGTGTTTAATTAATTGTGACTTAACACAATATGCATATTGTAATGTGTAAAGAGGGTCATTCTACCAGACGATTTCACAGAGACGCGTTGTATAAATTTAAAAAAAAGAGTAGTTAATGTAATCACTATTAAGTTAATTCATATGTTTGATTTTGTAACAAAAACATACGTCGTCGCAAGATGAGGTCCAACATTAGCGAACCGACACTTGACAAATGGACACAGGTTTCCACACGATGGTTTTTCCTGGGCGAGTCGGAACGCACTGCGAGCCAATGTAGCATTATCCGATTTCGGCAAAGACGTATGTTTTAAGATAATGAAGGCAATTTTTTAGGCAATTGTAGTCATTTTTAGTGTTTTAAATGGTTGTATAATGTACAAGAATAATCGCATTTTCTTTTAATTATAGTTAAACATTTTGCAATAACTAAGATTTGTTAAGTTTGAATGTGTAGATTTTCATGTTTATTGGAAATATTTTTGCGTAAATCTGTTTGCATGAATGTGATAAAATATTAGCATTTGTAATTTTGAATTGTATAACGCCATATACTAAGAATAGTTAAAGTTTGAATGAAAATCCTTGCTAAAAAACAATAATTCATGTTGTAACAAACTACTTTCGGCTTCCATCTCGTAATAAACGTTCGTCTGGCCTTGCATATGGTGTTGTGTTGTTATTTTAGTTTAGCAAAGACATGCATTTTATTACATGAAAACAAAACACTAACAACTCCATTAGATATATATATCATAAAAAACGCAAACTTATCGACTGAAAATAATTCAAAATGTTTAAAATTAATTTATACCAGTAAATCAAAGAACCTAATATGAAAATCCCAAAATCACACTTTTTCATCACAGTAATGAAAACTTATCAAAGGCAAAAACCAAAATAAAAAAATCCAAAACAAAGTCACTCATAAATGTCTATTCGTAATGTCACCGTCGGAATCTTTAGAAACGACAATGTCCTCCATCAGGGTCTCTTACAGATGTACGTCGCCTCATATACCTTACAGCGGGTAGTCGCCTGTGTAATCTGACGCCATTCGTCCTGTAGTGCGAAAACGCTGGTGAAACCGAGCAATTCTAGACACATGAACACCAAAACGGTTGGCGCTTTGTTTATTAGATAGACCAGACTGAATCTGTCCTAAATCTACCCAGCGGTAATTTCTTCCATTGCATACAATTTGCTTGCAAGTCTCCAGTAGTATTTGAAATTTAGCACTTTTATAGAGGAAAAGTGTGAATATGCAATTTCCATGTTAGCTTTTACGATTTCTAAAACTGACCATTGGCATAGTTTAATATTCATTCTCATAAATATTTTTATTGCTCATTTGTGTCTAACATTCCTAGAAAGGTGTGAAAAACAAGTTAATAAGAAACAGTTTTGAAAAATGAATGATTTCATTTCATAAAATAACCATGAATTAGTTTGTTCTGTTTTCTATTGTGATCTTATCACAATTAACTAAAAGTGTTACTTTTGATTTTTTTCGGATACTGTCTTTACTATGCAATTACTTCATTAAAATGTTATCATTTTTCATAACTTTGGTATCTAAATGACCGGAATGCATTCGGATTTAAAAAACTGTGAAAAAATATTTCAAAGAAAAATATTTTCCTTGTTAAAATGAAATTATCCCGACCGTGCGTTTTCATTGTCCTTAATTATAATAGAAAATGAAAAATGTTAACATCTCCAACTCTGATATATTCTAGGCTTATAGACAATTGAATGATGTAAATTATAGAGGTAATACCCCGGTCACATATTCACGGAATACGCCCACGGGAGAGCCACGGATTTATTCCGGCATCATCCGTAGCTACCCGTACCGGTCAGTAGCTCTCCGTATTGTAACGTAATCAATCGTAGTAGTCCTTGTCTATCCGTGGCGATCCTTGACAATTTTTGAACATGCACAAAAATTTGCTACGGAAAAAACAACCGTAGCGTATCCCTGCTAGTCCGTATTAAACCGTAATGATACGTACTGGTCCGTACTTAAACCGTACTAGTCCGTGCTGATTCGTAGCCCACCAACTTCTCAAGGATTTCCACGGTTTGGTACGGAGAACTACGTATTTGTACGGTTAGCCTACGTATAAGCTACGGTTTTAATACGGATTAATACGTCATTGTCACGGAAAGCAACGATCGTAATACGTTGTATTACGGTGAGGCATGGATTAATATACGGTTTATTGCGTTGCAACACGAAACGGTACGAAATCGTACGGTCCAACACTGTTTAGTGATGAATTTCGTATCATGTTCTTTTTCAAGGGTATAAATACGACCTTCTTGTTAAAAAGACATATTCAATAAATGATAATTGGCATTTACTGGCTGCAACTTTATACTGAAATGGCTCAGAGGTAGTGGTCGAGCTGCTTGATGGCATGCATAGAGGTAAAAAAATATATTAATATCGTACTACAATTCATAAGAAATAGAATAACCTTTAATGTTATTTTACAAACATTGGATCGTGATATTGGAGTAAATTTGTACATAAAAAGAAGTCTCTCATAAGCCTCTGACACTGGCAAGCTTTTTAATATTTTCTAAACATAAACATTCACGATTATTAATGTAATTGTAAAATAAACAGCAATTTTAAATTAAAAGAGAAGGAACATTTTTCATTAATGATAAGTAGTCCATATCTAATCAGGTAAGAGAAGACAGAGGAGATGGGGGACTAGAGATGGGCTTTTCCGAAGACCCCTTCATGTTCAGTATGGGGCTCTCATGGCCGAACTTGTTGAGGATCCTGCGTCCTTCAAGAAATTCACTTTATTCGGATCTGATGTGTCTCGGGGGTCGGACGCGATTAGGCCGAATCCTCTTCGACAAAATCATTGAACTCTGCAATTCGTTTTCTAGGTGTTCTTTTCTTGTGAGGCATTTTGAAAATGAGCATGCAAGAGGTTGTGGACGGATGTATTAGGTCCGTATAGATCCGTGGCAATTCGTTCTTCTCCGTATCAATTCGTTCTTCTCCGTATCAGACCGTACTTATTCGTACTAACCCGTGCTTATACCGTAGCAGACCGTGGTGTATCCGTAGTGCGTCCGTCCTGATTCGTGTCGTTCCGTATCAAACCGTGATTGTCCGTAACAATCCGTGTCTCTCCGGGTGCTTTTGGTGGAAAATCCGTCGGACTCCGTACTCATACCGTTGTGTGTCCGTACTGGAACCGTAGCGGACTACGGAATTTCATATTTCCGTAGTAATCCGTGAACGATTAGATAGTAGCTCTTCCGTGGCATTATCCGTGAATATGTGACCGGGGCTTTTGCACAAGCTCTTAAGTAGATATTGTACATGTATAATATCTATAAAGTCAAATTCTACTGTCAAAAAATCTTAAACTTTTCATTAATTATATTGCAGATAGAGTATATACGGATTGTAAGTATTATGTAAAATTATTAAATGATATTTTCTAACATTAAACTTATGTTCAGATAGTTATATATATTTCTTAAAACATTCTTTATATATTACAGAGATTTTTAATACTGCACGATTGTAACGTCTTTTTTCATCAATTGGATAGTTTTGATGTGTATATGATCTTTATACATGGCTGCAGTCGATTGAAGTAATTTCATTTTTTCTCTAATAAAAGAAATTTGCAGCATTATGAATTCGATATCTAGATTCCTGCTAGCTTATATGTATAAAAACGGTTATTTGCAATATAAACTTCACCTAGTGACTTGGGTTATATATACAAACAACCGTTCATGTAGGACCATATAACTTACACTGTAACAACACCATACAATTTATATTATTTAAACATTTCTGCGAAAACGGGAACAAACAATCGACACAATCACGTAAAGTTAAAAGTGAACACTATTGTTGAAAGTTTTTACCAAAACCGGTTAATATAAATATGAATAACGATGAACAAATATTATTTTCAGCTTGCCAGTCATCAGAGTTTGTTTACTCTGCTGGAAACGTGACAGATAGGTTCCTAAACTTGTCATAATCATACATACAGCTTGGATGGTTAGACGCTCATCAAAACGGGAAACAGTATGTGCTGCCTGATTATGGCGACGTAATTGAAGTTTTCGAAGAATGTGTCGGTATCAATAATTGGTATCGCGACATTTTCTTTCTGAAAGGTACATTGATAAAATAGTCAAGTACTTACGACAAATATGATCCTTATTATTAGTACTTACTTTACAAATGAACGAAGTAAGAAATAAATAGTAATGTTAATATCATCATGCACATGTATGTATATAATTATCATTATCATATGCTTGAAATTTAATGCTGATTTTTTGTTATTGTCTTCTTTTTTCAGGTAATCGCCGTCAAGTATCCTCTTATATCCACGTTTATTCCTTTTATAGTCGCCGAGGGACGTTGAAACGTCAATTTTACATTTCCAACTGTATAATAAAAATGCCTTATTACTCTCAAGAAATTATTTATTTTCAGAGAGAATGTCTCTAGATATACCAGAGAACATTCCTGTTAAGTATACAGTTTGCTATGTTTACAAAAACAACTATAACAATTACGATTACTCTGTTGATGGGGAATATTATTATGAAGAGTATTGTGATCGTTACGTTTATGCAAGAAAATGTGATGGGAAAATCATGTTTGATGTATCAAATTTTCGATTTTATCATCATTTGTGTCTCAGTAAGTATTCTTTCAAATCAGACATAGTCAATTAAAGAATCTTGTCCGTATTGACATCGGCTTATTTCTGATAACATTGAATTAAACAAGTGTTTAACCTTTTCTTAACGTGTGTTCTACACTGAGGTTATAAGAGAAAAACATTATGGTGCCTTGCATACTAGGGACTCTTATCCTCTTTTTAATTATGAAAACATTTCGTGCAATTTCTAAAGTTAGAACTTTTTTATTGAAAATATCAAATATTGTATGTAATTAACTACTATTATTATTATTATTATATATTGTTAAAGTTTAAATTATAAATTCCGTTAAAATGTCAGACGAAAATAAAGATCAAAATAATAAAATTTCATGAAATATTTTAAAAATCAGAAAAGCCTTGGTGCTTGGAAGAAAATATTTGGTGTCCGACACCATTATCTGAATTTCTGATCATTTACACATAGGAGTAAAAAGTTATGTATAGTCGCCTCAATTTGTCATTGGACACAAATTTCCTTCTTTGTAAGGGATTCTAAGTCGTATATTAATGAAATATGATTTCACAGTAAAATCAAGGTTATAACCTTGCATTGTTTAACTCGGGGACCATATACCGCTTTTCATGGAATGACACGTCTGTGTCACATTGAAGGTTCCATGATAATTGCCGTATGAACACTTCAGCGGATGTTTATAGATTCAAAATTTCACCATTTTCATGTTTAAATGTTGAAGTCTGCTTAAGCCGGTGCTAGGGGATGTGGACAGAAACTTGCATTTTCCAGTACCGTCCACAAAAAGGCTCATTCAAACCGAGCCTGCAACATTATAAATTGTGCCGTGTTTGGCCTTCTAAGGGATTCTGTATTTCTCTTTTTTATTTTCCTATTATTTCATTTACTTATTTTGTCAGTCAATTACAACAATATGACTGTAATACCAGAAATAAAACATAAAGAAGACAGAGTCAGTGATGATAGAATTATATATAGACCATACATTCAGTTCAGATGTTCATTTGAGATGACTGACAATACAGAATACAAAGTGACATGGTAACAATCATTTTTATATTTGATTGAAAAAAATGATTGCAAATGGCAAAATGGGTTTAACGAAACAGTGGAACAATTCGTTGATTGTGAAGAAAAAATTTAGTGTTGAAAATATACGATGTTTTGTTTAAAAATGATAAACATGTTTTCTTAATTATGTAAATGATCACAATACTATGTATATAAAAAGATGATTCAAATTCTTTATTTCTCTCAGTGCATCATACACTGTCCTAGATACATCTCTTTCAAAAAGGTATATCAATGGAACACTGTGGAGTGAGACAGGATTTTCATCTAATCCGGATGACCTTGTATTAAGCGGAGATTCTTTAAATCAATTACGACTTGGATATGAGGTAGATAAAATAAGGGGCTAATTATTTTACTGTTTTTAAATCTGCCATAAATAATCAATATACATATTTGATATTATGTTCCTTAAAGATCGTAAATGTTGTCTAAATGTCCACACTTTAAAAAAAAACATTCCATGCTTAATGTTAGGTTGTGATACTGTGCTCCCGGTTATGTTGATTAAAATCTACAACAATATATATAACTTTTATCTTAAATATTTTAAACAAGATGAATACATTGAATCATTATTATTGCTACAAGAAGCAGAGCACCATACTGTAGAACAAGTTTGTAACAGCAGTGTAATTTCTTTCTAGAATAGCAATTCAAAATAACTTTTACTTCTCTTCAGCAACACCAGTCAAAAACAACCAAATTGTTTTTCACCCAAAGGGTGTTGCTTTTTAGAAGTTGTACTGTATTTTGAAGACTTGAGAGTTCACAAATAGTTGTTGCGTTCATTTCATTTCCTAAAAGAACTAACTTAACTATTGACGATATTGGGTACTTATTTTATAAATGTCTTTGAATAAGAGAATTAAACATTTCGTTTTAGGTGAAATGCGGTGTCATTGCAGATGGGACAATAGATGAAAAATTGAGCAATACCTTTTTCGCAGGTTGGAAGGTAATATATCAACTTTATAATTTGTATAAACATTAAATGAAAAATTTGTTTACAACTTTTAAAAGTTATGATTTAGGTATGTATTCCCTTCCGGGCATACTTAATTACGTATGCTGTGAATGTGATATGAATGGTTTACAAGGCATATTAATTTTTTGATACGCATACATGGCAAGAGTAATAAAATTGATAATAGAAAGATTATCGAGACACGACGCTAAAAGATTTAAATGGGGGAGCGTAACCCAGACTGCCGATTGTTTTGATGTTGTTTTGGTCTCTCTCTCTTGCATCAAATCAATTTCCTTTTCGTGATAATATCAAACCCCAGAAAAAATGAACCAATAAAAAAAGAACATAGAAACAAGATCATTATCCCTTTCCTTGTTATCATAATAAGTAAACCCCAATCAACAAGCATGCTCTATATTTATCCCCGACTTAGACCTGCATTCCAGTTAACACACTGTGCATTTATGGTTATACGATTTTACTCGGACACATTTTCAATAGAAAGGTCTCTAAACAATGATAAAATAATATCATCTTATGTATCTTATGTGGTCGGTACAGATTTCAGACACATCCAGAAGACTTCCAAAGAATGGTTATGCTATTATTGAAGTTGAACAGACAGTACCTTTAGGTTGTACATATACCAATACTGGAGAGGGAGTTTGCGAGGAAACGCTTTCACTTTTAGACATTAACCGTGAAATTGATGCATGCAAGGCTGGAATACACGTGATGAACGCTGATAATAATAAAACATCTTTCCATACAATAAAGGTTCGTAACAATAACATTACACATAACTTCTTGACGGTAGGTGCACAAAATTCTTTGCAGGTTATAAATGAATTATTCACTTTTTGATTTTTACGATTTGTCGATCATCGTGTTAAAGTAAATCTTTTTTAATGATGAATTATATGATATTTATTTCTTTTGCAAAATTTTATTGTCAGCTGCCTCGCCAATGAATAAGAAAATATATGATGATGTCATGATAATGGTTTAAATGTAAAGGCCCTGTCACAATAGACTGCTCTTTCACTGCGTTTGCATGTGGGTGTTAATTTTAATAACGCGCTGCGAGATCGCAAGAACAAATGTGATATTTTTTATGACATGGAAACTTCACGGCGTTTTAACGGCGGTCATGGCGATGTTACATAGCCTCCACGGCGTTTCAATTGGTGATTCGTTCCATTCGGATTGCACTTCTACTGCGTTATTTGCGCTTCCACTGCGCTTTTACGGCACCCTTTCGGCACTCAAACTGCGCTGAAATCGTAGAGCTCCTTCAAAGCGCCTTGCGCACACAGTATTAGTGCGGTAGAGACGCCGCACAATCTTCGTACAAGCGCCGTGGATAACCACCGCGTTCATTCGGCATTCCTTTTGCGCTTTCACGGCGCTCATATGCGTTGTAGGAGATGCTACAGAGTTATTAATGTGTCATAACTGCGATCCCACTGCGCTTTTATCAGAACGTCGAGTGACAGCGTTTGTTTTGAGCATGCTCAAAATGCGCGCCGTTGGTCGGAGTTCTCTGCGAATCCACTACGATGCTTGAGGCGATGCTGTGTCGAGCTGTGGCGATGTTTGCGATCTTTCTGCGCTCATCTCAAGCATTCTGAATTGTCTTTTTGACGCCGTGAGAACGCCGTTCTAGTGTCACAGGGGTTTAAACCACAATAAAGAGTATGTGTTATACCCATTATATTATAGCGAGGGAAATACTGATATGTGGACACTATACAAGATTTTGAACTTATTCCATGCAGACTTTAGAAAAATTACTACTTTTACAAAGTTCAAGCAGTTTACGAATTTTTCAAGTTATTCCGCTATGATCATTTTACACTCACGTTGAAGTCCAAATTATTAAGTTTAGATGACTAATTCATTGGTTATATATAGAAAGAAACCATAATATATCAATAAACTTTTCAATGTGGAAATTTAATCAATAATAATAACAGACTACAAAAAGTGGTCCTTATCAAACTTTGATGAGTAGTATGTTTTACTTTTCTGTATTGAACATGAGTCTTTTCTACATTATTTAGAGTTTGATGGTAGGTGATGTTTTTGGAACTCCAGCATCAAGTATAGATTTAGATTAACTACAATAGATCATGACTACGATGACAAACTGAACTTTAACAATGGAGCTGCTTATAACAAAGTCTGAACTGACAGAAGTAGTAAATACTGAGGTAAACATAATTTTGTCGAGCTTTATATGAGAGTTGCTTCATACAAAACTGATAGTTGTAATATTAAATTGGCGAACTATACATGTAGGTGCTTTAAACAAAAGCAATATAATTTGTTATTATTGAGGTAAGATAAAATTTTTGGCGTATAAATAGAGGTGTTTGTAAGAGTTGGTAAATAAAGAGGTAAACTATAATTGAATTGTTCATAC